CAGTCCAAGTTATATGTCTACGAATACCAGCCAGAGACTGACTCCTGGGTGTCCGTTGGAAAGGCAGCCAAGCGCAGGCTGGTTCCACCCAAGAGGTGCCATGACTCTTTGACAGAATTCCGGGTGGCAAGGATGTTCCCAAGCTGGCTGGGTTATAACAGTGATCTTGAGGATCTCATGTAGGAGATATGATGAAGAAAGACTCAGAATAGGGGAGGGGGGCGTGACGGGCACTGAAACTGATTGAGAGTCACCGATAATGTGACCTTGAAACAGCAAGTTTTGAAATACTTGTCTTGACACCGATCACTCTAAATTTGAAATGGCAGGGAATTAGGCAAATATGGGATTACATTTTATAATATAGATGTAGATAGTATAGTATAGATAAAAGAACAGGTATGTTTGTTGGTGGAAGGTCTCTCTAAATACCTTCACCAAGAAGGTTATATTTTCAGTTGCATTTGTCATTGGATCTGTCAGTCAACAAGATAACTTAAGAATAGCTGGATGGTTTGGTTTCATACTTGATGCGTTGGTAGGGTGTGGCAAAAATTGAAAATGATGAGATTTTGGACCCCCAGGTTGCTTTCCTTGGTACTGCAGTGGAACTTCCGGTTTTGATTTCATACCTTGTCCATGCCAAATGATAAGGATTTCACCAGTGCATTGCATGTTGCTAGGTAGGGGCCATGTGAATATTTTCCTTAAAAATTGTGCTCATGAGCAGGATTGTAAGCCATTTACAAGTGGTCATCACCATGTATAAACTTACAAAACATTTCATGGAGATATGAATTCTAGTTATCATTATGGTTATTTCAGACTACATCCTGTTTTTTGGGTCGATATCATAACCGGAAATTCTGTTGCAGTACCATAACAAGCCGCTAAGCTCCTTTTGAGGTCTCATGAAAGGTGCCAATGCAGTTGTTAGGGCTTGAAAAAAAATTCAGTCAACATTTTAGTCACTGATCTTCATAGTGCCCATTCATTTCTGTTTCTTGAGTGAGCACCTCTAGTTTTTATGTTCCAAATTGCAGTTTCCAGTTGGACCCAAGTTTCTACTTTCCCATAAAGGTTATTATGTCCTACCTGTGCTGCGATTACGTTCGATACGGGTGTTCCGGCCCGTGTGATAACTAGCGGTACGGCCCGGGGGTTCTTAACGCGTACGGCCCGGGCCTTCCAAATGTTCCAGAGAACGAGTCGAACGCGTTTCACCCGAAACGGGTGCAACGCTTTCGAAAATTCGAATGCAAAATTCGGACATTGGAATTGATGTTGTTACATCTTTTGGGTTTAGGGACACCAACTTTTTGCTCATTTCGCATTGAAAGGCGTCTTTTCTTAGGTGGGTATGACATAAATGAAATACAACACGGTGTATTCCGCATCACCCTCGGTCCCAGCCCTCCCGCGGATCGGATCTCCCTTCAGCCGTCGGGCGATCCGACGCGCGGTCGGGCTTGTACCTCGGGCGATACGGAATACCCCGTGTTGTATTTTATATTTATCAGATCATTGTGATTATTGCATTGTTCAAACAGAAAATATTTATCAACAAATACACTAATAAACAGCCTTATGCCAGCTGCTGGTACCTTGTTCCCCTGACGATAGCAGGCCAGGCACTATCAAATATTAATAATTCTTTTCTTAGAAAAAAATCCATTTTCTTAGTACCGGGTACAGGTATGAAGAAAACAAGTAATCAGGCATCTCACGACCTGCATCATGATTAGAATTTTCATCATGATCATCTATGTGAATGTTATTCAAATAGCCAACTTCAGACAATCAACTCCACGTGAGAGTAATCTTGGGTAGTTTGTCACGCGGCATTGCGGATCAGCTACCGAAGGAAGGACACACCCTACAAGAACAACAACAACAAAAGGTGGTACCCGATCGAACGTTCCTGTAAGAAAGTGACAACTGAAGCTATTCTGACTCACTAGAAACAGAAAGGTATGTTTCTGTCGGTACTAGATAAACATTAATGGTAAGATTTTTTTTGTGTACTAGACAGTTTGCCAGCGTCGCTGGCCTACGCCCATTGGCAGGCATTAAAAATTTTTTTAAAGCAGACGTGTGGCCAGATTTGCCGTTTTCTGACTGTGGACAATGGAAGATAGCTCTGAGATAAGCCTGTCCGTAAAACAAAAACATTTAACAACCTTCATTGTTGATATCTGCTTGAAGATTTTCTTAGTTCTAACGTGAGTAATAGGGGTGCTGTGCCATGATGATTTTATTTGTTGACGCCATAGTTTTCGTATAAATTCTCACTGGCAATTTGGTCCAGTTCGGGGTCGTGTGGCGCAGTCGGTTGCGCGTTCGGCTCACACCCAAGAGGTCGCGGGTTCGAATCCTGCCCATGTCATTATTATTGATCTTGAGCTCTTGGGAAAGGCACTTTACACGACTTTCCTCGACTTCACTCAGGTGGAAATGAGTACCTAGCTTCGGTTAGGGACGTCCCTCGGATAGGATGTTAAATGGAGTTCCCGTGTTTGGGGAGAGCCAAACCCACTTATCGAAAAGAGTAGGGGACCTCCCCGGTGTGAGTGGCTCAAAACTTTACAGTCTGGTCTTACGTAGCTTGTAACGTTACATGTACGTACATGTACAAAACTGGTGTGTTACGCCTAAAGGCGGTTTACCGGTATTGCGAAACAAACAAACAAACAAACAAAACCAGAAACATCAGATTGAATATGCTCTTTTGCCAAGCCACGGTCTTTAAAGTGTTTTAAGGCTGAACGTAACGACAGTTTTGTCATCATAAGGCTAAACACCATGAACGTATAGCAACACAGCTTATTTGTCTGCTTTTTGTTCCATTGCATTATGTAAAAGTGTGTACGTGACTAAGACTAGTAAGAGCTCTTTTCATCCCATTGGATGCATTCATGAAGTTGTTTTTTTACAATGTGATACACTAAGAGCTTTTATTTATTTATTCATTGACTTCACTGTTTATTTTTATTTTATTCACATTTATTTTTTGAGGATTGGGCAAAAAGTTATGAAACTTATGTCAGCCCTCTCCTCACACATAAAAGGAAACAATAAAACAAAGTAATAATAATAAGAAGAAGAAAGGACAAAGGTACATAATGAGCTGGTGTACAAATCAAAATCAATCAACTAAATCAAACAGACTTCACTGTTCTTTAACCATATCTGAATGATATTTATGGCTTCACCACAAAGTGGTGAAGACATATTGCTTTCTCTCATGTTTCTTCTTCTCCCTCTCCTGCCATTTCTTTAAATTGATTCAACTCTGCCATTTTTGGGCCAAATAACATGAAATTCGGCATGAAGGTAGTGGGCAAATACCCCCAGGAGTTTTTTTTTTTTCATTTTTTTTAACAGGCTTTTAAAATTGTTTTATTTGGATTTTTTGCCATTTTCAGGCAAAAAATATACATTTTGGGACCTGGAGCCCTGGTACTAAAACCAAATGACCTGAAACTTAGTATGGGAATACCTTTAAGACATTTCTACAGAACGCGATCCAAGCTTTTGACATACACTTTAAAATTGTGTAAAATAGGGCTTTACTATTTTCGGACAAAAAATGTACATTTTTGACTCCTGTGCCCTAATACTAAAGTCGAATGACCTGAAATTCAGTATGGGGATCCCTTGGACACATGTCCAAAGAGTGTTACCCTCGCCTTTGACATAAATCAATCCAAAAATGTGTAGAATATGGCTTTTGGGCTATTTTCGGACAAAAAATATACATTTTTGGCTCCTGTGCCCTATGATTCAATCCGAATGACCCGAAATTTGGTATGGGGATACCTTGGACACATGTCCAAAGAATGTCATTCACGTGTTTGACATACACGACTTTAAAAATTTGTAAAATAGGACTTTTTGGCTATTTTCGGACAAAAATGTACATTTTTGGCTTCTGTGCTTTACTATTGCATCCAAATGACCTGAAATTCAGCATACGGGTAGCTTGGTACCAAATGCTTAGACTATAGCGTCCACTATTCAGATTTAGCCTTTTAAATTACTTTTATTTATCTTACTTTGAGTAAAAATAGCGATTGTAGCTTGAAAACCCAAATCCCCAACTGACAGTTCTAAATAGAACACTCAGGTTCTACATGTTCCAACTGCAGAAGGCATTGGAAGATTCCATTGCTGCATGGGAGTATAGACTATTGGAACACTTTACATTTTGGACAGGGGTAATTTAGGAACAATCCATTTCGTGCAGGAGGGGGATAGGTCCATTTTTGGTACGGGGGACGTGGTGAAGCCATGTGTCTAATTTTCTACTCTTTTGCTAATTTACTTGTCTGTGAGATACAAGGAAGGTCATAAAAAGAGTACACAAAGTTTTTTATTGAAGCATTTTTTGAGAAAACGTGGGTTAGACCAATACATAAGACAATGCATAATACATAGGGCAAGCAAAGCACCAATTTACACATACTTAAATGATGAACAAGTGACCAAAGACTGAGAGGACTGGCATGTTAAAATATTACAAAAACCGTTTGGAAGCTGACAAAAAATTTTACATAAAGCAATAATTGAATGCTATGAGCTGTTGGTAGAACGTAGTACACAAATTTGATATTCAAGCAGCCAGTCTCAGACAATGAACATATTCCCGTTACTAAGGCTTTAAGACTGATTGTTACACACTTCAAACCTTTAAGGAACAACTGCTTCAACTTCTTGTAAAACCAACTGTTTGCAGACGCGACTATTCTAAAGAGAATGAAACAAATCATTTTCGCCACATCACGGTTGTTGTTTGTATGATATATTTTAAAGTGGTAAATTTTGCAAGGGAAAAAGAAAGGGCTGGGAGGACCATTTGTGTCTAACTAGATTTTGTGTACCAGAATGTACCCATTACAACCCTTCTGTTGATTTTCCAGTTGAGAGTGATATTTCTACGTCCAATACATAAAAATGTCTTGACGAAGGGACTTGCTGTTTTATTTAGGTGGCAGGACACCATGGGAAGAAAGCTGCGACACTTGCTGATTTTCCTCATCATCATCCTGAAGGAACCCAACATGCCAGAAGCAGTCTGCAGCTGTGCGCCCTCAGCACCTTGTAAGTGCATCGAGATGGGCCTCCGCAGCATCCCTCCGGACCTCCCAACATCCATCTCTAGCTTGGATTTGACAAAGAACTGTATTACAGCTTTAAACCAGTCCCTGTTGTTGAGGTATGGGGATTTGACAGAGTTACGTTTTACACGTAACCAGATAACAATGATTCAGCCTGGTGCATTTCAAAATCTCCCCCGTCTGAAACTTTTGTACCTGCCCTCCAACCGGATAAAAGTGATTAAGCCTGGCATATTTGCAAATCTATCCCAACTAGAAAAGCTGTCCCTGAGCAGCAACCAGATAACAAAGATTCCGTCTGGTATATTTGCAAATCTACCCCAACTAGAAAGGTTGCACTTGTCCAACAACCTGATAAGAAATATTCCGTCTGGTATATTTGCAAATCTATCCCAGCTCCAATACTTGTACCTGTCTAAAAACCAGATAACGATGATTCCGAACGGTACATTTGCAAATCTATCCAAGCTCCAATACTTGTACCTATCCGACAACCAGATATCGAAGGTTCCGGAAGGTACATTTGGAAATCCATCCTTAAAAACATTGAACCTAGCCTCAAACCAGATAACTAACATCCATTCTGGTACATTTGCAAATGTGCCCCGTCTCCAATCTTTGACCTTACAGAAAAACAAAATCTCTGTCATTCTCCCTTCAGCTTTTGGTTTGTTGACATCTCTTCGTGAAGTGAATCTTGCACGTAACCCTTGGCAGTGTGACTGTAGGATGGCTCCCTTTCGGCGGAATATCACTAAGTTTTCGTCAATTAAACGTTCTATAATATGTGCCCAACCCGACAAATTTAAGAACAGGGAGCTAAGACAGATCAATCCTGAAGAAATGATTTGTGAAGAGCCAACCATATCATCGGTTGGCAATGCTAGCCAATCGGCACATCCTGTAGACTCAACATCTCCCACACAGCCGCCTGTTAACCCATTAGAAATTGCTAACAAGTGTTACAATGCCACGGTCACCTCCCGCTATCACTGGTTCTTTACACGCAATTCTGACTTTACACCACAAAACACGTCGAGCAACATAAGAGCAACACTAACATCAACACTTACAGTGATCACTTCAGACAAACCAGAGTCTGCCACCAGTTTCAATCTATCACTTCTCGTTGGCTCGGTCTGTGGTTCAGGAGCTGGTCTGTTTGTCCTGATTGGCACCATCTTGGGCGCAGTTTGGTACAAGAGGAGAACCAGGCATCCTCCTGTAGGACTGAATCCCAGCAATAGCAACACAAACACAGCAGTTCCTTTTCGAAATCCATCACGTAGCCAACTGCTAGCTGCCTTACAGTCAAATCCTATTTATTCAGACGTGAAAGCACCACAAGAGAACCCAATATCTACAGAAATGGCCATTGGTCATGATCAGACAGGGCAGGGCCAGTCACAGACCATTACTAACACTACAGCTGATGTAATGGCCAGTGGTGATGATCACCACTATGAAGATGTTGACAACCATCATGATCAGACAGGGCAGGGTCAGTCCCAGGCCATCACTGAATCCAACGCAAACACCACAGCTACTGCAATGACCAGTGGTCATAATCAGACAGGGTGGGGTCAGTCTCAGGCCATCACTGAATCCAACACAAACACCACAGCTACTGCAATGACCAGTGGTCATGATCAGACAGGGCAGGGCCAGTCTCAGGCTAACATTCAATCTCTGACAGTTTTAACACATAACCAGATACTAGCTGCCTTAAAGCCTAATTTTATGCAAGTAGGTGTTGAAACACTGCCCAAAGAATTAGCCAGTTGTCAGGAACAGGCAAGTCAGGTTCAGTCCCAGGCCATCCCTGAATTCTTGGATACTAGAAATCCCTCGTATGGCACAGGGCAGACTGCCTCGCAGCGAAGCTCTCTGTACCAATAGAACAAACAAACAAACAAACAATAAAAAATGCAAATACCTTGACTAAATCTACATTGAAATGTGGACTTTCAATGAGTCACGAAACTAAAAAAAATGATACCATTGACAGGTCATTGCTAGAGCTTGAAAATATTTTAATGATCTTTAAAGGTTAATTAAAAGATCATTGAGGAATATATTAGAGTTCGCTGAAAGATTGATTTCGTTATATGTTTGATTTTAAATACTCGACAGTCTTGTAATAGTCTCAATTTTGTAAGATCTTCACTCCTTGAGCCTAACACTTTATGTCCAGGGAAAACTCTTTTTCAAGTCCAACGGAAATCAGGGCTTGAAATACTGGGTGCATATGCACCTTAGTGCAGGTAAAACAGTTGGAGATATTTCTAGGTCTTATGTCTACATGTGCCTTACCTGCACTGGTCCATGTACAGGGATTATTATTATATATACTGTAGGTGTGTGGGGATTTTTATTTGCTGCATCGACTGTTATCACCACTGAAGTAAATATAAAGAAAATAGTGGCAATGGTTTTTAACATTTTGTTTGTATAGACCATACATCCTTAACTCGGAGTGGTGCAGGTAAAACTTGTCTGGTGCAGGTAATTTTTAATGTTACTTGCACCAGTGCAAAACGTCTTGAAGTAATGTGACAGCAACAGCAGGAAGCCGGATGCTACGTTTAAGATAGTTGAAAAATCACTTTAATTGTAACCTAATCAGCATTTCCTTAGAGTTGCGTCAAGCTATGTAAAGTTACAGTTTTTATGTTAGCTCGCGTATTTGTTGAAGTTGGTATTTGGTTGCTTACGGGAATATGACTAAAGTCGTATGTAGATGTCAGATGTACCAATTCACACTGCGTAGTAACAGAAACTACAACTTCCTTACTAAGCATTGTCCAGTTTAGTGAAAGTTTTGCCATTCTACATTACGTATGGACTATACAAATTTGAAAATATTCGTGTTATTCGCCATAGATGGTTAGATACCGAATTCGGTATGTGCACAGTAAATCGCCAGCATTGTGTTCTATATTCATTCTATGTGCAATTTCAATGAATTGCCGTTTTGAGAGATTAAAGTGTTTTTTTAAGTAGAATGTATATTATATGACTAAAACAGTCACCACCAGCTATTTTTTCTCTAATAGCGTTTTCTCCTACAATTATTATATAGTAGCACAAAAGTGAAAACTACTTTTTTTGTGGTAAAAAGTGATGAATTTTACTCGAATTTTCCAAAATTAATTTTCATGTTCATCCAGTAGCGCAGTTTTTATTGTTTATGTTTACTAGATGTCTAACCTTTATTAAGGTAAAAGTGTAGAAGGTTCTATATGTTCTTTACGTATTTATTTATTACCTTTCGTTCTATATGTCGTTTACTTATGTTCTTAACCTATGTAAAGTTACATATGTTATATGTTCTTAACTTACTTTTGAGGTTTAAAAACAAAACCCCACTTTTTATTAACGATATTAATTACTAGCAATATAATGTGTACATGTTTATCTAAGTATTGAGCATGTTGGTTATATGTTGTGAAATAAAATGCAGATCTTGCAAGGAGGCTTTTTTTCTCTTTGTGTTTAATGACTCCATACTTAGTGCTTGTAAGTTGTGGCTGGATGCGAGAATATTTTTTAATTAGCGTCTTGTTTAGAGAAAGGGCATATATTTGAGTCTAATATGTTATCTAGTGCCAGCTGAGGTGCATATGTGTACACTACATTCTAAACTGTACTGGAAAGTGAAGTAAATAAGAGTGGGCTTCATACTAGACTAGTTAGCAGGAAGGGTACTACCTAACCTTTACATCGAAGAAGAATATAATCCGGTCTTATGCCCCTTATAGCAACACCTTTTGTGCATTTTATCCTGCAATATTTGATGTTACCTTTGACATCGAAATAAAACGAAACGTTACTTGCTCCAGTATCTGGGCAATGTGCAAGTGGCTATTTAATTTGAACAACTTGATAACGTTGAAACAAAGGAAGGCAAAGGTTGAGCTTATGGGACATGAGTACGAATTTTACCATCCTTTGAAGTGCAACGTGTCGAAATACTTTCATTGTTAACTAGTCTGGACGGCCAAATATCTTATATCCTTCACCTACCTCTGTAGTTGAGGATTGGGGATAGACGTGGCAGGTGGTATTTGGTTTTCGTTGCCGTGTATTCCTGTACGTACGGACTTGAACTAGCAACGTCGGCGGGCACCACTTTATCGTACTCTGGCGAAATATTTTTATTTCCTTCAATCCAAGAGGATACTAATATCCTCTCAACAAATTACAACCTTGTCATGCACCAAGAGGGGTTCTGACCTGAACCGGGACGAAACCAAACCGGTCCAGGCCATCATCACATCTTGTCGTTCCAGAATCGCTACCAGTGAGCAGCAACTAAAGCTGTGGGCAAAAGAAGAATTTAAAAAAAAAAACAGGTTAGCAGACTTCAAATGTTTAATTTATTTACAATCTTAATCTGAGGATGGAAAATTAGTAAAACTCGCTTTTGAGTCTGGCATTGGTTGGTCTGTTAAGCTTTGCCTTGTTTTCTTGTCATTGCTGGTGGTGGTGGAGCGTTTAAAGATTATTAGAAAAACATGACGATGGGTAGACCTCAGATGGTACCCGTCACATTGTCGGTCAATACTTGGCTGTTCTAAATATATTATATTACGGAAAAAGGGATGTTTGGTCAATCTGGTCTTTCTGTTGATTTGTTAATTTTTAGGATGCATATTTGTGGTCTGTAGTAATTCTATATTAGGCCACACCAAGTAAATTTTATGGATGACGTCCGCGCGCGCATTGATTTTGGCCTGTTCCTAGAAAAAAAAACAAGAAATTCCGCTTCCTGTAACTATGACCAAAGAGTCACGACAGTGCCGCAAATCGTTAGGTTGACGTGAAACCCGTAACGTGAAATGGGTAAAGAGCACATGCTTTGTTTCTGCAGGCCTGCAAAAAATGTGATGAAAGAAACAGGACAGGACGATAACTGCTGTTCCACCTGATTCATTGCTTTTTTGATGATGAATAACTTCTTGCTTGTTACACTGTGTCACCTCATTCAATTTGTGTCCTAACATTGTCGTCTGTTTTATTTCTAATCCAGGCATCTTGTTTTTTAGGGCCCTTCTTGTTTTTTTTGCCCTCTCGCATTAGATTTAGGGTCTCCAAAGGACGTCATCCATAAAATTTACTTGGTGTGGCCTTACACAGAATTGTCTCAGCAAACACGTCTATAGCCAAACTACACCTAACCGCTATAATATTTGAGACCTCAAATGCGATGAAGGAAATCCTAGCTTATAATTTCATACACTTGACGTTTCTTAAACAGAAAATGTTCAGCAGACTTAGCAGACTTCTGGTTCTTCTGATGATCTTAAAGGGAAGAGGAGCTGCAAACCAGCAGTGGTGTTTTAAATGTGTCCATACCGATTACTGTCGTGACAAAGACCTTAAGAGGGTTCCACAAGATCTACCCACAAGTATCGATTGCCTTGGGTGTGAGAAAAACGCCATCGTATCCTTAACTCAGTCTGATTTCTCCAGGTACACGCAGGTAAAAGGGATTGATTTATCTGAAAATAATATATCCGTCATTGAGAATGGCACATTCACAAACCTTCGCCTTCTTGAGTGTTTGAAAATAAATGACAACCCAATAACTGATATTAAACATGTTGCATTTTCAAATCTACCTCAACTCCAAATGATGATCCTTATTAAAAACAAAATAGCAAATATTCAACATGATTCATTTCTTAACTTACCCTGGCTTTCAATTTTGTTCCTACAACATAACGAGATGACTAGTATTAAACATGGTACATTTTCAAATCTACCACAGCTTTTCACATTGAACCTGTCCAAAAACAAGATATCTAACATTCAACGCGGTTCATTTTTAAAGTTACCCAAGCTTTCTTACCTGCACCTAGCCTATAACCGGATAAAATATGTTAAACCTGGTACATTTTCTAATACACCCAGGCTTCATGTTTTGGTGCTGTGCTTCAACCAAATAACTTGTATTCAGCCTGGTACATTTGCAAACTTACCCAATCTAAAGCATTTGAATCTGGACAACAACAAAATAAGTATCGTTCAGGGTGGAACGTTTTCAAATCTGCCGGAACTCGATAACCTGTCACTAAAGAACAATCACATCACGGTTCTGTCAGAAAATTATGAGCTGATGTTGATTGAAACTGTAAACCTTGAGAACAACCCGTGGTATTGTGACTGTAGGATGGTTTCCTTCAGACAAAAGATGGTTGGGAAACGGTTTGAGGATCATATCATATGTAAAGAGCCCAGTCGGTTCTTGGGACAAAAGCTTAAAGATATAAACCCCAATGATCTGATCTGTAAAGACCCACAAATTGTGAGGTTTAGCATGATAAATGGAAACAGGCCAGTGTTAAAAGGGGAGACACTCTTTCTAATGTGTGACGTGTCGGGAATTCCGATCCCAGACATCACAGTCACTCTCCCTTCTGGGAGGAATGCAACTGTTGAGTCCGGTGGGAGAGTGACTGTGGAGGCGAATGGTATTATCATCATAAAGAACATTACCGCTACAGATTCTGGTCTGTACGTCTGTTTGGCAGCGAGTCCTGGTGGCTCTACGTCTGCCAACCTGTCAATTCACGTACAAAGACCATCATCTGTAAGCTCCACGTCTATTAACGTACAAGGAGCAGCATCTGTAAGCTCCACGTCTGTTCACGTACAAGGACCATCATCTGTAAGCCCCACGTCTAGTCACGTACAAGAACAATCATCTGTAAACCCCTCAATATCCTTTAGGTTTCTACGTGTCAACGTTTCTGACAAAACACTCTTTTACCTTTACGGCGGCATTGGTGCTGCAGGGGCATTATTGATATGTTATATTGTCATTGTAATGTGCTATAAGCGACTTACCAAAAAGAAACCACCTTTGGTATCCGTAACCTCTGCCATTTTTAACA